TCCTCTAGAATATGAGGCTCAGTTGGGAAGCAGAGAAAACTCAGGAAACTGGGCCTCTGAGCCCCCAACCTTGGACCTCAAGCCAGGACTCCATGAACCCAACCCTGCATGTGCCCCAACAGCATCTGAGACTCCAGGGAAGGGCACGCAGAGTAGAGAAAATCTTTCAGTCTCTGTAGACCCAGTTTCATCTCCCAATCTGCCCTCAGCCCCTCTGTTGGAGTCTCTGGTAACGGGCCCCCAGGGAGTCCTGTCTGAGTCCAAACCCTCATGGGAGACCAATGGGCAGAGAATCAATCTCTGGGCATCTGACTCCCCATACCCTCTCCACAGTGCACCACTAGCCCTCTCTAAAGCACCGCACATAATCAATACTGTGGAAGGCTTGCCTAGAACAGAAGCTACACAGAAGGCTGATGAGCATCCCAGGAATTCCTGGCCTTCTGAACCCCCACTTCTGGCCCTCAGCTCAACCCCAGCTGTTATAGTAGAGCAGCCCAGAGTTAGTCCCATGGGGGTCCCGTTTGATTCTGAGGCTAGATGTGGGGACGCGGGAGGGACAAAGAGCTCCCGGGACTCGGAGGTCCCTGCCTGCAGCTTACTCCAAGGTCCACAAGGAGTCAGCCCCCTGGGAGTCCTGTTTGACTCTGAGCCTGTTGGGGCAGACGTGGAGCAGAAAAAAAACTTTGTTTCTGTGTCCCCTGTTTGGGACTCCAAACTACCCCCAAAGTCTGTTTCAAAGTCCCACGTAAGTAGTGAGCCTTTTGAAGATCAATGCAACTGTAATTCTGAGGGGGAAGCAGCAGAACAGAAAGAGAACTCCTGTGCCTTTAAGGGCCCAGACCCCAGCTCACTCTCTGTTCCTCTGCCAGAGCCACACGTTGACCTTGATCTTATATGCAGAAATGTGCCACAGAGAGAGGTCCCCCAGGACCTCAGCCTTCCAAAAGTGGATCCCTTGAAACCAATAGCCTGGTTTCCCACCACAGCTGAAGTTCTGAAGATTGAGCCCACTCAGCCCAGCCTATCCAGTCTGGTCCCAGGGACTAAGGCACAAGCCCCATCCTCCCAGGGAGAGGCTGTCCCAGAGGTGCTCGCTTGCAGTGAGGTCCATGCCTGGCAATGGAGTAGAGAGTTGGAACTCACGCTCAAGAAACTGCAGCAGAGTCCGGCTTCCAGATCCCCTCGCCCAAGTCAACAGTTTTGCAGCTCTCCTACCCTGAGCTCCCCACCTCCAGACTCCTGGGAACTCTCTTCCTACCCCCGACAGCAGAGTGACCCCTCCAACCCGTGCCCCCATTCTTCAAGCTATCATCCCCCAAAAACTCACAGCACAGTACTTCAACCTGCCCAGGCTTCCCATAGTCATCTCTCTCATTTCTCTTCCCAGACTCTGCCACGAGGGTCTGACAGAGCAGAAAAAGGGTCTCCAAGAGAAGAGAAAATAAAGAGGAAGATGGTGGTTCAGGTCTCAGGTGTCCACAGGGAGTCTAGTCAGAATAGTCCAGGCCACAGAGAACCCTCAAATCCCAAGGTTCTGGCCTCAGGCAAGAGACAGGAGAAGGCTCCAGTCTTAACTTTATCCAAAAAGACAGAGAGCCCTAGAAAACCCAAAGCAGGAGAGCATTGCAAGATAGGGTCACCCACAGTCACAGGCACCCAGGCCCAAAGAGGAGTGGAGGCCTCTGTGAGCAGACTGTCCCAAAGGCCTCAGCACAAAGGCCAGGGACCTCAACACACTGCTCTTCCCATGGCTGCTGGTCCCCAGTACCAGAGACGGGACATGCAATACTCTTACCACTGTAAGCACTGTCCTTGGGCCCGTATGCAGACGCGTCTCTCTCCTCCTGCACCCCGGGCTCCCCTTACCAGGCGTCTCCAAAAGGCATTAGCGAAGTTGCTAGGTACCCACAGACCCCTGCCCACCAAATCTAGTCAATAAAGGCTGGTAGTATTGACACTCAATTCCCCAAGACCTGAAGCCAAATCAGGTGGAGCTAGGAAATGGAGCCAGAGGAATTCTAAATAAACTAGCTAAACCCAGATTAAATCGCATGTCTTCTTTGGAGCCAAGGTACAGGGAATTTCAGTTCCCTGTTAGCTTTTGCTGCAGCTACATCCGCTCAAGAGCAGGCCCCAGGAGTAGAGCTCAGCGTTTCGCAGGCTTAACTTTGTGCTCAGACCTCCACAGATCACCACATCTGGAATTTACACATCCCTACTTTATGGGGTGAGGCTGTAGGGCCGGGGGCAGGTGGGGGGAGAGCCCAGCTCAATGTTGCTCTTCAAAGACTTCACAGTGAGTGAACAGAAAAATATATCCACTAAACATGAACACAACTAGTCAGGGTCAAGACAGTTCTTGGTCCTGTGTATGACTTCCTTCTTTATCCACAGTACTCAAGGCCAGAAAAACAAGCTCCCTTTCATATTTAGTAACCATTAGGAATTTTTCTTCTAACAAATTACCACAAAATACATCTGACAAATCTGAGACATCAAATCAAGGGGTTGGCAGGACTTGTTCCTCTCTGTAGGTTTTGGGTAGGGTCACTCCTTGCCTTTCTCTGCGTCTAGAGGCTGCCCGTATTCCTGGGTTACAGCCCCCTTTACCTTCAAAGACAGCAAGGGCAAGTCCTTACATCATGTCTCCCTGGTCTCTCTTTCTCCTTCCACTTTCAAGGACACTTCTGAGTACAATGGGCCCATCTGGATAATCCAGGGCACTCTTCCTATCTTAAAGTCAGCTGATGAATTATCTTGAGTCCTCTTGCCAGGAAAAATGTACTTAGAGGTTCCAGAAAGTAGGATGGACATATCTTGGAAGGCCACTATCCTACCTACCCAAGGTATTATTACATATGCTGCAAATATTTTCTCCCAATCTGTAGCTTATGATCTAGGTTTTCAGCGACTTTTACTATACCAAAGTTTAAAGTTTTCGTAAGTTAGATCTATCAAAATCACCCTTTTCAGCTTCTAAAATATTTTGTCACTTTTCTAAGTTCTTTATAGGAGCCGGAACTGTGACATAGCAGGTTAAGCCACAGCCTGAAATGACAGCATCCCATAACGGGTACTGGTTTGAGTCTCAACAGCTCTACTTGTAAATCCACCTCCCTTCTAATGTACCTGGGAAAGCAGTGGAAGATGACCCAAGTGCTTGGGCCCCTGCCACCCATGAATGAAGCTCCTGGCTTCAACCTGGCCCAGCCCTGGCTATTGTGGCCATTTGGGGAGTGAATGGAAGATTTCTCGGTCTCTCCTCTGTAACATTTTTTCAAATAAATCTTAAAGACAAAAAACAGGGGCCAGTGCTGTGATATAGTAGGTTAAGTCTCCACCTGCAGCGCCAGCATCACATATGGGTACCAGCTGGAGTCCTGGCTGCTCCACTTCCAATCCAGCTGCCTGCTAACAGCCTGGGAAAGCAGCAGTGGATGACCCAAGTGCTTGAGCCCCTGAATCTATGTGGGAGACCAAGAAGAAACTCCTGGCTTCAGAGTGGCCTAGCTCCGGCTGTTGTGGCCATTTGGGGAGTGAACCAGTGGATGGAATCTCTCTTTCTGTCTCTCCCTCTTTCAAAAAAAAAAAAAACTTTTTAAATATATAAAATGTATATATTTATAAATATATTTTTATATATATGGAAAAGTGGAATTAAGAGATTAAAGAAAATTTTAAATCAGTGCGGTTTTTTTTATTCTTTTTTTTTAATTTGACAGAGTTAGACAGTGAGAGAGAGAGAAAGGTCTTCCTTCCGTTGGTTCACTCCAAAATAGCCGCTACAGCAGGAGCCAGGTGTTTCCTCCTGGTCTCCCATGCAGGTGCAGGCGCCCAAGTACTTGGGCCATCCTCCACTGCCTTCCCGGGTCACAGCAGAGAGCTGGACTGGAAGAGGAGCAGCCGGGACTAGAACCCGGCGCCCATATGGGATGCGGGCACCGCAGGCAGAGGACTAGCCAACTGAGCCACGGCGCTGGTCCTTGTCAGTGCGTTTTTCATATCATGCACTTTCCATGAACTTTTGAAGACCTCTTATATACATGATCTCAAGGTTTTTTTGCACCAAAATAAATTTATCTTCTAAGTCCTTTTTCTGTGAACTTCTTGAAGTACCCTCATATTTTAGACTGCTAGTTGACAGAAAGCCAGAGTCAAACAGAGCTCCCATCTGCTGATTCATTCCCCAAATACCCACAATGGCCAGTATGAGGCCAAGTCAAAGCCAAGAGCTGGGAATCCAATTCAGATTTCCACCGTGTGTGGCAGGGACCCAACTGCTTGAGCCATCACCTACTGTGTTCCAAGGGCTGCACTGGCAGGAAGCTGGAATAGGGAGCCAGAGTCAGGACTTATACCCAGGCATTTTGATAAGGGACATAAACATCTTAACATCTCCACTAGGACAAACGCTTGCTCCAAATTTTACAATATGGTATGAGGTGAGACTCTTTAACAGCCCCCTTCCCACCCCCAATGATGTCCAATTCTCCTAGTATCACTTTTTAGTATCTTGAACACACTCCATTAATGTGCCCTACTGCAAAGCAAGGTCATTTTTAAATCTCTAGGCATCCGAGCTACATAGCAAGTCTACTGAATAGCACCTCATATTCACCTATTCCCGAAACTTACTCATTATCCCATTAAACTTTTCTAACAATGCATCCACTTCTACTGAAGGTTATACATTCATCTAACACCTAAGCCAGAAATCTGTCATCTTTTTTTCCTTTGCCCTCCTCCCTGATCCATCATATCGGTTATACCTATGCAATGTATTTTATTTTATTTTATTATTATTATTTTTTTTTTGACAGGCAGAGTGGACAGTGAGAGAGAGAGACAGAGAGAAAGGTCTTCCTTTTGCCATTGGTTCACCCTCCAATGGCCGCCGCGGCCGGTGCGCTACGGCCGGCGCACCGCGCTGATCCGATGGCAGGAGCCAGGAGCCAGGTGCTTTTCCTGGTCTCCCATGGGGTGCAGGGCCCAAGCACCTGGGCCATCCTCCACTGCACTCCCTGGCCACAGCAGAGGGCTGGCCTGGAAGAGGGGCAACCGGGACAGAATCCGGCGCCCCAACTGGGACTAGAACCCGGTGTGCCGGCGCCGCTAGGCGGAGGATTAGCCTAGTGAGCCGCGGCGCCGGCTCCTATGCAATATATTGTAAATTCATCTTTACCTCTCTATCTCCACCATTACTGTCTTTGCGCAGTTATTTCTCACCAAACTGCCCTACTGCTTCTAGTCTACTCTTTGCATGACTACAATTCTCTGAAGACCAATTTCTTCAGCAGGCTAAGTGCCACAGAAGTTTGGTAGGATATTGGTTTGCTCGAGAGTTGTGAACACCACTTGGGTCATATAGGATCTCTGAATGTGGTATGAGTATGAGATTAAATTCCTTGTTTCCAAAATAATTATTGAAAGGGGGAGATTAATGATTTTAAAAAGTTATAAAGCAGTATGATCTCAATTTGGTTTATAAAATATGACATGTACAAATACATATTTATGCAAACATAGGAAAGACCCAGAAAGATATGCACTAAACTGTGATCCCTAGTATTGGACATAATTTTTAAATTTTTGCTTATATATCTCTGTATAGAATACTGCTTCTACAAAAACATTATTTTAAAAATGAATTATTGGGGGGGGGACCGGTGCTGTAGCACAGCGGGTAAAACCCCTGCCTGTAGTGCCGGCATCCCTTACAGGCGCCGGTTCAAAACCTGGCTGCTCCATTTCCAATCCAGCTCCCTGTTATAGCCTGGGAAAGCAGTGGAAGACGACGCAAGTCTTTGGGCTCCTGCACCCATGTGGGAAGACCTGGAGGAATCTCCTGGCTCTGGATCAGCACAGCTCCGGCTGTTGTGGAAGACCTCTCTCTCTGCCTCTCCTTCTCTCTGTTAACTCTGATTTCAAATAAATAAATCTTTTTTTTAAAAAAGCAAAACTTTCATAAAAAATGAATTATCTATGCACAATAGTATATATGACATTGACAATATTGCACTTAGAGATTGTTGGGTTAAAATTTTTCTGCCACTGAAAAAAGGGAAAAGTGAGCTGTTTAATATGGAAACCTGGGCTGACTCTGTGGTGTAGTGAGTAAAGCCGCCGCTTGCAGTGCTGGCATCCCATATGGGCACCGGTTCAAGTCCCGGCTGCTCCACTTACGATCCCACTCTCTGCTATGGCCTGGGAAAGCAGAAGATGGCCCAAGTCCTTCGGCTCCTGCACCCACATGGGAAGACCCGGAGGAAGCTCCTGGCTCCTGATGGGCCCAGCTCCGGCAACTGTGGCCAATTGGGGAATGAACCAGCAGATGGAAGATCTCTCTCTCTCTGCCTCTCAGGCAAATAAATCTTTAAAATTTATACACACACACAACTTGAAATTTTCCTGCATGAACTCTCCTCATTTTTATGACAAAATTTACTTATGGCATTTGAGGTTCTTTACAATATGGCCCCTGACCTTTCCAAATACTCTCCAGTATTCACCTGCTAGTCTAACCTTATGCTGTTTAAGCATGCCTTGTGTTTCCTGACCTCAGCATTTTGTTCAAACTTCTCCCCAACTTCTCCATGTCAGTGGTCTCCCACCTTCCTTTAAGGCTCAGCTCACATTACCTCCAGAGCCTTCTTGGATTCCCACTACCTTGGCGTGGTTTTCCCTTGCTTGCAGCCCCATTAACACTGTGTGTGCCTCGGTACCCATTTTCTGATAGTAAAGCTCTAAATAAATTAAGGTTATGCAAGGTAAAACCCAAACTTCCAATCCAGTGCTCTTTCCATTCCATAAAATTCCCTCTCTCTGTACACCTGGTTGAAAAAAATGGTCCATCAGAAGGTATGTGCTGTTCCTCTGCTTCCTCCCACTAGTGTCATCAACGATCCACTTTTTTAGTCCAAACTTGTCCATGGGGTCTGAGCACAAAACTTGACCTGCTGGTCAAGAACGGAACTGGGGGCTGGCACTGTGGTTCACTTGGTTAATACTCCACCTGTGGCACCAGCTTCCCATATGGGCGCCGGGTTCTAGTCCCGGCTCCTCCTCTTCCAGTCCCAGCTGCTCCTCTTCCAGTCCAGCTCTCTGCTGTGGCCCGGGAAGGCGGGAGGAAGCACCTGGCTCCTGGCTTCGGATTGGCTCAGCGTGCCGGCTGTAGCGGCCATTTGGAGAGTGAACCAAAGGAAGTAAGACCTTTCTCTCTGTCTCTTTCACTGTCTAACTCTGTCGAGGAAAAGAGACAGAAAAGGAAAGAAAGAAAGAAAAAAAAGAAAACAACACTTAAACAAAAGAATGAAAAGAATGGAACTGAAGGTGCTCATCATCACCATCTATGGTCTCAAAAGACAATGCAATTCTGAATGCCCATTTGACATGGGGAAAGAGTAACTTTAAGTCTGCATCTCTGGGTAACTTTAAACAAAAAAATCAAAATTCTATCATCTTAAGTCTTTTTAAAGCTCTCAATAGGTTGTAGGGCTGAGAAAGGATAACAAACATCACTTAACATTTGTATAATAGTCAAATTAATGATTGGCACACCTGTTTGTCATGGACATGGTGTGTCCAGTGGACTCTCAAGGTAATTTACAGGATCAGTATCTTAGACTCAGATATATGAAGACCTAAAGTTTATATTTCCATCTTTGCTTTTCCTTCCCTGGTATAACTTTATGCTATAGTCTTGGTTAGAACTTATCTTCTAATCAGAGCACTTGTCTTATAAGTGCTCACCTACAATAAGATTACATTCCAAATTCTTCTGGAGAACACTCTGCAGAGAAAGGTGGCCTGCCATATCATGTCTCTTGGCATTAGTATGCAGGCTTCTGAAAGTGTTAAACTGACAATAAACAGTCCCTCACGCTGCTTTCTACAGTTCAGAAAGAATTTTCAATCATTTTATCAGATTAAGAAAACTCGAGACTCTCAAAGGGCTAACCACTTATTTTCAACTATACTGGCACAAGTGCCAGACCTAGAGGCAGTCCTCCTGACTGTAAGACTTCTCTTGGTTTTTCCTAAAGAATCTATCTATGGAGATACAACTGTTCCCCAGACTGGTTGACCTTCACTTTTCACACAATCATTTTGACAAAATTTGTATTACCTATCAACCTCTGTTGGGGCCAGCACCGTGGCGCAGTAGGTTAACCCCTGCCTGTGGCGCCTTCATCCCATATGGGCACTGGTTCTGTCCCAGCTGCTCCTCTTCCAATCCAGCTCTCTGCTGTGGCCTGGGAAAGCAGAAGATGGCCCGAGTCCTTGGGCCCCTGCACCCACATGGGAGACCAGGAAGAAGCTCCTGGCTCCTGGCTTCGGACTGGCACAGCTCCGGCCGTGGCGGCCATTTGGGGAGTGAACCAACTCTCCCTCTCACTGTCTGTCACTCTACCTCTCAAATAAATACAAAATCTTAAAAAAAAAAAAAAAACCTCTGTCTACATACATATCTGGGAGGAAAATGACATTTGCCTTCTGTTATATCCCCACAGCCTTGATGGAAAGGTATAAAAAGTCTTTCCCCAAATAACCTTGTCTGTGATCCTCACTGAAGTTAGGCTGTCAACTCACAGGGATGACAAAGAACAACAAAATTCCAAGTAGGAAAAGGCCATCATGAACATCTAAAGCATAGGACCAAAGGATTATCCAAAACAGAGCCTGGTAAGAAACAAGGGACAATTTGAATCCAAAAGTGCTATGTTCACAGCACATGAGTTCCAGAGAAGCCCCAGTTTAATCAACCATTGTTATCTTCTGTCCTTGTGGATTACCTAACCATATAGACTAGACCACGGCCTGATATTTTCTGCCTACTGTATGTACTATGACCAATAATTTTACTCAGTGGACAATTTTCACTGCACCACGCTTTGGGTAAGGCATCTTGTATTTGACCCCAGAAGCAAGTAGTGATTACTTTGGTACCTGTTGAATAAAGAAGATACTCTAAACCCACTGAGTAAATTATGCAAACAATCACCTGAACAGGCTGTGAACAGAGGGTGTTACTTCAGAAAAAACACATCCACTTCTAGAATTTTGTAATAGCAAAAAGCTGTTTCTTTTTAATAATACTAATTACATAAAGTGGGACATAATCGTACGTGATCCTCAACCAGGGAATGAATGTTTGGGGTTCTTAGATGTTTACACCTGAAGACAGATTGTTATCTTTTAGCAACCCTAAGATTTTTCAGGGGGCACCCCAATCCAGTGTTTGGTCAAGATTAGGGTGCTCCTCAGGTCTAGCCTTATTGTCCACATCAAACATAGGTGAAGGGGTACCACATTCTCCACATTTGAAGCTCCATCAGGCTCCCTGCCCCTACTCCACTGCAGTCCTACTCAGTGATGGCACAGATGCAGGGTGAAACAGCAGGAGAAAATACACTGATGTTAATCAGGAAGGGAGGGGGGTGCGACTTACTTCCAGGACTTCACATTGGAATTGTGCCTTGGCAGTGAGAGGTAGCCCAAGGCCCGTCCCAGGAAAAGAAGCAGGCACAGGGGCCAGGATTCAGGCTCCATTTTGACCCAACATTTATTATCCTTTTACAACATGTCATTTTTTGGTTTAGAAACTGCTTGTGATTAGTTTTCCAACAATAACTCAAAAGCATGTAAAATAAAAATCAACCTACTCTCTATATAAACACTCAGCAACTGTGGCCCCTCACCCACCTACCCAGGTTGGATAGGGGGAAGGGAGGGCTTGGGCAGCATTGAGTGAAGTGCAGATGCTTTCCTGTGGGGGTGGCGCTAGTGCCTGGGTTCACATCCCACACAGATCCCCTGCACTGCCTCAAACTATAACAGAAATGGCGTAGGCCCAAGGCCCAATTCCCTGTTGGTAATTCACTCTCCGCCTCCCAAATGAAAATTGCTTTTATTTTTATCGCTTTTGTATTTTTTGCAACAGAAACCCCCTGTCCAGAGTCTGACTGTAGCTGAACTGTTCAGACTGAAGAATGAAGCAGGCCGTGGGCGCACCCCTGGTCCCTCCTGGGCAAGCGCCCCCACCCCCTGGGAACAAGGTCCAGCCAGGCCAGCTCGCTGCATGCTGGCCAACATCACTTAGCCATACAGGTCATCATCATTGTCTTCTGTATACACACTGCCGCCTGTGCCGCCTCCACTGCCCTGACTGGGGCCAGCTCCACCCTGGTTCCCTGAAGGGAATCTGTGTACAAGAGCAGAATCAAAAATGAAAGTTAGAACAGGCCTGCACAGGATTTTCAGAACTACCCATCTAGCCTCCTTAGGGACTCCCAACACCTTGTTTGTGTAGGTCCCCAAGGCAATTTAACCACTGCTCACTGCCCTCAGTTACCTGAAGCTGCCAAATCCTCGACTCTGCTGAAGGGTCTGGGCAAACATCTCATACTTCCGAATGTCATTGTCACTGACAGAACGGCGGGCAAAGCGCATGGCTTCCTCAAAGTGATCTCGGCGAATCTCTGGCACTGGATCATCCTCTTCTACTTCCTATAGTGTTGGTAAACACAGACCACCAGAGTAGTTAAGGATTAGCCTGGACTCCATTCCTGGCCTCCCTGCCTCTCATTATTGTGGGAGTTTACTGGTTTGCCTGCCCCTCCAAATCCAACCTAAACTTCCTAAGACTGAGTCACTGCTCTGCTTAAAAATTCATCAGTGCATTCTCGCAAAGGGCAAACTATACAGATGAAAATCATATCAGTGGTTGCCAGGGGCTTAGAGAAGATGCTGTCTCAAGTGGCCTGAGGAC